TTATATTAAATTTTTATTAATTAAAAATTTTTAAATAACTTTATTTTTTTATACTAATATTTATTTTAATTTATAGAGGAGTTAAATTTTACAGATTATTAATAAGTATTTTTAATTTAAATATATAATATTATTTATATTTTAAAAGAAATTTAGAATATTTAGAATATTTAATTTTTATATATTAAAATTTATTTATTATCAAATTCTAATTCTATAAATATTTATTTAATGAACACTACTATATTTTATATTACAAATAGCAATTTGTAATTATTAAATAAACAAATTATTTTTTTATATTACAAAAAATATTTAAATATTTATTAAATTTATTATTTTATTATAAAGTGTTTTATATTTACAGATAAAATTTTTTTAATTTAATTAACTTTTTATTTCTATATAATTTAAAATATTTGAAAAAACAATAAATCTATTAACAAATTATTTTTCATTATATTATTAATATATTGGAAGTGTTGCCAGTAAAAATCACATTACAGATCATATGATTTATTATATTTTATGACTTGATTCTTATTGGCAACATTTCCGATATTGACCAAAATTTTTTTATTTTCAATAGCATTTGCTTTATCATATTTTGAAAATAATATGATGATGATGTAAGTTTTATGGTTACTAATACTAATGATAAAAAATGATTTCGAAATAAAACTAATGTCTTACTAACTTTATCAATAAATATACTTTTAAAAATTAAAATAAAACTATATAATAATAAACAATTATAACTGTATATTAGCTAAATAATATTTACAACACAACATCAAAGTATTATTGAACTAGAAAAAGCAATTTCAATTATCAAAAAATAATTAAAATGCTCAAAATACAGAAAAAGCAATGCATTACTTATTTAAATTAGAAAATTAAATGGCTTCTACTAAAAAAAAGATTGAATATAGTAATATAAATGATTTAATGAATGTCATTATCAAAATAACTTGTTATTTTAATTAGAATTATAATAATTTTAATACTATTCAATATTAAATAAATTCATTAATAAATAATTTCCAATACAATTTTCAAATGATATATTGACAAAATATTGATATTTTCCAAAAAATAAAACTCTAATAATAAGTTCAGTAAAATATCAATGTGTAGTTTTATAGGTAAATGATTAGTAAACGGTGAATATTTTTTTATATTATACATAACATCAATAGCTAATTATTATACAATAATAAAATAAGTAGCTTATATATTTTCAATATTGAATTTCAAAGATAATTATAATACAATAATAAAACCAATTTTTTTTATATATTAATTTCTAGCCTTACTTAAATTTTATACAAAACATTAATTATAATTAGTATTTTGAAAAAAAAAAAAAATAGCTTAAGCTTTAATATAAAAACTTATCATAATAGTTTGTGTTATAAAAATTAATAAAACTAAACATTTTTTATATAAATACTATATTTTTGAATAACATATTTGTTTGAGAAAATGTTAAAGGTTAATAAAATTAAGGAAAAAGAATTAATTAAAAGTTTAGGATTTTATAATTTTTTTTGATTTTGTGTCCTGTAAGATATATAGATGATTATTTACATTGATTAATATCACTTCAATATTAATCAATATAAATAATACACCATATAAATCCATACATTATAAAATAAAAAAAATAAAATCTAAATTGTCTTATCTAACGGTTTCAAAAAAATTCCTTTATTTTCACTTATAAAGTGTTTAAAGTAAACTAATTTTTAAAATTTCAATTATTTCACTTTTTAGAATCACTTTCTTCATAAATTATAAGTGTTTAAATGAATAAGTAATTTGAAATTTCAGTGTCAAATATTATAAATTGATAGAATTTTTAATAATAAATGTGATATGTGCAATAATATTTTACTTAATAAAATATCCTAAACTTGAAAATATTTTATTTATACTAAGGTAATTAGAAAACTGATTCAATCATTTATTAGATTTGAATACATTATATTCTTTTCATATAGTTCTTGATAATGTTTCCAGACCTATAGTTCTTGTAACAATTTTACCTACACTTTTTCTGGCTACTTTATCCTGCAAATATACTAATTTGAAGATAACCAATACACGTAATATATATATTAGCTCTATCACCCAATTTATAATTCCTTCTTCTGCTTCCTATCCTATGAGCATTTCATTTGTCATTTTTGAAGGGCCAGAGGCTTTATTGTCTGGTAATGTTTTAACGTTATTAACCATTCATCATAAGTGGGGATGTCCATGATGCCAGCATAGCAATCATTGTCGATAGTCTCAATAGGATCATAGTGACATTCCCAATTGTTCCAATTTGAATTGAAGTTATTTGACTAACTAATTTATCCTATAAAATACATTAGAAGAAATCAGTTGATATACTAAGCCAAATACTGGCACAATGTCAATAACTTGAGCTACGTTATTCTTGATCATCTGTGACGAGATAAGAATCTAAAGATTAATTAATACCCTTGTATATTGAATTCAAAAATTTATCAGTCAAACTTTGAAAACTTATATTTCGATAATAATCATCATCAACTTTTTCATTCCAAGGAAAATTGACAAAAATAATTAAATATTTTGAATTATTTCCAAAATCTGCCTTATTGTATTTAAGTGATTATTGACCCATTTTTGTTTACTATAGGTGATAATAATAATGAAATTTTCATTAATCCCTCAAAGATCTCCTTAAATAATTTAAACATTTTACGATCATCTTCAGTGAATAGATCCTGTTTTTTAATATAAGCTTTATAGTGGAGTCATAATAAAATAATCTCTTATCTCTTTAATAGCTTTCTTATATAAAACATTGCCAGAAACTGTTTCACCTATTTCAATCGTATCATATATTATAAATTAATCATTCATACTGAATAGTATCTTAGAGCTCAGCACTATCATTAATTGCAAATACATTGACTTCATGATAAATATCCATTAGTATATTAATAAGAAAGACTTTCTTACCTGATTAGACCAAAAACAACATTTCTGGTTTTTTCACTTATATTCGATTTGTAAATTATGGTATGAACAAATAAATATCATATGTTTAGAAAGATATAAATAAAGGTCAAAATTGCCTAAAATCAATCGATTGGAAGCTTGAATACAAATTTTAAATTAAAGTCAAGGTTTTCTACTTTAATATCTCTGAAAAATGATGCTGGAATTTCCTAGCTTAAAGTTATTTGAAGAAGAGTAAAGATGTCTTTAAAATTTTATAAATCTATATATATATGTTATGTCTCAAATGTTGATTTACGTTAGGTGATAACTGACGCGCATCAGGTATCTGATGCATGTCACTTATCTGATTGATAAATCACGCATGTCAGTTATCATCTGACACATATTTAAGGTTTTGATTATTGAATATGACACTTTTTTTATACTTTCGCAAGTATAAAAAAGTTTTATTTATTAATTTCAAATAAAAATATTTACTAAGGTAATTAGTAAAAATAAACAAATAATTTTGATTCTTTTACATAAATACAAGAATTAATTATTACATTTGTTTTTAAATGAACGACTACCATAGCATCTACTTCCATAATTGCTTCCTTTTTTTACAACTACATTTATTGTTATTACAATTATGTTTGCAATTACAAATAGCATTTGTATTTTATCTAGCATTTTGAAGGTGTGCAGCTTAACAGAAATCTTGTTAGAAGGTAAATTGTTAAGATCAGGAAAGCATTGTATTCCAAGTGGTTCAATTCCTTCAGGTAAATAACATGTATTGATGATTCCAAATTCAAATTATTTTCTGTTTTTCTATTACTTTACATGGAAGTATTGGATGATCAATACCAAAGCGATTGATTTTTGTAATCATAATTTTTACCAAATCTCCTATTTCATATTGATTTGGTCTCTTTCTACCCAAGTTCATTTGATTAACCATTTTATTTGTATAAATTTGAAGGTCTCAACGCACAGCTTTTCTCAAAATTTCATGTCCTGTGAATGTATGTAAGTTGTATTTATAATATCAATAAGAACTGGATGGTGAGTGTTAAATGACAATCCATTCCATTTTATTATCTTGAATTTGAGTTGAATTTATTGTTTCAACACTACTACAAATACTAACATTATCTTCCTCTTTTCTTCTATTGTTGGTTTTTCAATTCATTGTATTTTAGATTTTGCCAAAGTAGGTGATTAAGAAAATCGATTAATAGTAAAGGAGTAGTGGTTGATGGTAAAGGAATGGTTGATGGTGAAGAAGTGGTTGAATGTAGAGAAGAAGAAATAATTAAAGGTGATGGAGAAATGGTTAAAGCTAAAGGAGAAGTAATTGATGGTAGAGAATCTATTAAAAATTTAAGAGTTTGATTATATGTTTATTTGAATTTTTATAAAGTATTTTTATAACAAAATTTAAAATTTTCGATTTTATATTTAATAAAATTTATTTTAACATAATAAATAAAATTTTAAAAAAAACCCATCAATTTAAAATAAATTTAAAAATAAATTTAAATACAACTATTTTTATACTATATAAAAAAAGTTTAAATTAAATTTAAACTTGAAATAAAAATACAATTATATCACGCATACAACATATTTATTACAAAAATAAAACAGATTACCGTAAAGTAAATCATTCATACCTTTATTGCAACGGTCAGATAAATTTTTGCTCAAAATGTTGTAATATAAAAGGTCAACGCTATTTTATATGTAATCAAATTATAAATGCTGTCCAAAATATATCTTTTATTTCAATCTAAGATAGAACAGATAAATCAATAAAGCTTACCTTTAAATTTCGTCAATTATCTTATCTTTTATGGAACATATATGCCTTTCAAACAATTCTTCACATATATCACAAATACAAAATATTTAAAATTTAAAATTTAGACACTTTGTTTGGGAATTCGAAATAAGAGACGTCTTACAAAAAGACTCATATAAGTTTTAAGAATATAATCGATCGGTTATAACTTCAATAACATTTGATTGAAGTAGGGAGAAAGTTTTAATGACAATGGAATACCGCTGGAGGTGATACGGTCTTTATTTAATACAAAAGATTTGAAAATCTCAAAGGAAAAACTCAATTATTCAGGCTAGCCTAATATAAAAGAGGTTATTGATTATACATCACCTGAATTATTGAATAAGAATAAACAAACCCATTTTTTCATATGATAAATGTAGATTCCAAGTTTAAATAAATAGAATAAGCACAGGTTCACTATAAATTAAGAATGCGATAAGGCTTCATTTTGAATTTCAAATTTAAAGAAAATAGAACAGGTTATATTTAATAAAAATTCCAAGGAATCCAAATATCACTTCTTCAGTTGGTGCTCAGTATACTTAACAAGTACTATTTGTAACAATATCCTTTCAAGAAATTTGATCACGGCATTTCATTAAAGTATCAATTGATCGAGGCTTATTGAACGGGAAGGTAAAATCATTAATGTCAACAAAGGATCGAAATGATATGGTGTAGTGTGCTTGCTAGGAAATGGTAATATGATATTTAAACTTAGAACTCATATATCGACAGTTAGGTCCGAAATGAATGCTGCAGTGAGTTAAATAGGCGCTGTCAAATTTCAAGAACGAACCCGGTAGCTGGAAATAAAGCAGAGAATTAATTCAGTCCATGAAGACACGGCAAAAGGTTATAGTGAATAGCAAATATCTTTATTGAACTCCAAAACCCTATCTCGAGTTATCTTTCAACTTAAGGGAAAATACATGCTATTTACATATATAAAATAAATAATAAGATAATAAGATAAATATATCTATATGCTAAATAATACAAATAAGTTAAATATAATTACGTTGTTCAATATGTATGTCAATTATACTAAATCGACATATTTTACCTCTGGTAGATTTGTCTAATAACACGTGATCAACTTTAACCGCAGCACAGATACCGGCTTCAACACCCTAGCTATTGGTCATAATGCAAACTGAGAATTGCCACAGAATACATTTTGATTAAACTTTTTAAATATTCCTTGAAATTATTTTGTTTCAAATTTGATATTATTAATAAAGTGTAATGAATATTCTCATAGGTAAATATAACAAAAACTAATTTAGTCTGACAAGCGTGAAAATTCTTTTATCTGTAAAGTTATAATAAATTGCCCATATACGATGATTTGAACCTAAATGTTTATTACGAAAATCGCTTTTGAATTATGAGTTTTGCACGCGTAAAGTTTCATAGATGAATTTCATACATTACCTCGCAACCACGTAAAATTTTTATCTGGCGTCAACCTAGAATTAGAACCGGAATGAATTAACAAACACAAAACTGGTTCATGGACACATTTTAAAACAAAGGTTTGACGCAAGATCTATATTTCAAATTCCAGGTGTAGTGTTTGTTATTAGTTAATGACTGATGTGAATATACGAAATAGGTTGAAAAATGTTAATAATTGTATAGTTCCACGTCTTATCTCAAGAATTGTTATTACAAAGGGAATCTCTGACCGAATATTGTAAAAACAATAAAAATAAATTAGGATATCCTCCGCAGCAACTACGCCATCAGCAGTACTGCCCCACATTGGATTATTTTTTTCGGATACTAAATGAGAAATTAATGTGAAGATCGTGTTAAGATCGATTTGGAAATATTTTTTTTTTTTTTAAAAAAAAGGTACTGATGAAAAGTTATATATTAATTAAATGAAGTTTAGGAAATACTAATGAGGGAATTTCGCTTTCAAAAGTTCGACAATGAATTTGGTGAATATCTTTCGATAAATTTAATTGCAACTATTTAAAGCATTGAAGAAATTTAATTGTATCTGTAAACAATTGAATAATTTTTAGTAAAAAAAACCATTAAAAAAATCGTGTAGTCGGAAATCCCAAAACTGATCATTGCCAAGTATATCAAACAAGGGAATAGATATTTGAAATATTTTCAAATATAGTAAATTTTTTTTTATTAAACTGCACTTTTGATTGGTTTAATCAGATAATCACACCAAAGTTAATTCGATCATGCTGGTCTCACAAAATAACAAAATTAAAAATACATGAATAAATAAATAGTAGCTAAGAGAACTTAAAAAATCTTTTACCTCAATAAATTCATGATGAAATTATATAAACTTGTCGTACTTGGGGATAGAGATACAGGCAAGGTACTATCTTTAGGTATTAGATAAAAAGAATATTTCTAATTGATTAATTTTTTTTTATTTATTTATTTTTAGAACGGCCTCACAATTCAGGTTCGTCTTTAAAAGGATCGACAAAGGATTTTTTTATTTTAAATTTTTTTTTTTTTTACATAATAAAAATGCTGTGACTTCATGTTAACTCTGAACACTTGTTTTTAATAGTTATGCCTTAACCACTTCGTCGGTATGTTTAACTATCTTATGAGTAATATTTATTTAATGAATTCTCACCAAATTTATATTTATCATGCACTTCTTAATGGTTAATAGAGGTCCGTTCATACTTTTTGAAATTTTTTTTTTTTTATCAAATTATCAAACTTATAAATTCTTTTCTTCCGATGTAAAATATATAGACTTATGATCCAACAATTGAAGATTCATATAAAAAAATAGCTGTCATTGATGACCAACCATGCGTGATAGAGATACTTGATACTGCTGGACAAGGTTTGTTCATCGTTTTTTTATTGTTATATGTTAACCGAAAGTTAATTATATAAAAAGAAATCACTTAATACTTTTTATTCCTTTCAAATTAACAGAAGAATACACAGCTTTACGTGACCAGTGGATTCAGTAAGTGTAATCGAAGCTTGTTAATCATCCGAATATCCAATCTGCATGAAGTTTATAATTATTATTCCTTTCCATTTGTTCATTTAGGAGTGGGGATGGTTTTCTTTTGGTTTATTCTATATCCTCTCGTTCGACATTTGACCGGGTAGAACGATATAGGGATCAAATTTCTAGGATTAAAGGCACAGATAATGTTCCACTCATGCTCGTCGGTAACAATTGTCATATCATTACAGGTCGCGAGGTTTCAAGGGATGAGGGAATGGATTTGGCCAGGAAATTCAATTGTGAATTTATTGAAAGTTCGGGTAAAACCTGTGTAAATGTTGAAAGGGCATTTTACGGTGTTGTTAGGATGATACGCTTGAGACATGAAAAAAACAGATCAAGCAGAGCCATTAATTGTATAAATAAAATTCGAAATCAAATATTTTCATGTAATTAGATTAGAAATTATCGTTATTTACGATGCCCTTGATGTGGCACAACTTTCTTCCGGGAAAAATCTTTATATGTATTTTATTCTTTTTTTTATTTTTTTTTTATTCTCAATAACAAAAGTCAAAAAAGTCAATTTCAAAAATTTTAATGTAATAAATCAATATTTAAGACACTTTTTTCAAGGTAATGGCAAATTTCATTTAGATATTTCCTAATAGCAATAATAAAAAAAAATATTTAAGTCTCAAATGTATAGCAGAGAACAAACATGCTTACATCCGATAGATAATATTTACGGAAGAAATACTGTACATATCGATATATGTTAAAAATTGACAAATTTTCAAGGAATCGATCAAAGACATTTTGCAACACGTTATTGATGGAATGTGTATGTGATGTTCAAAATTATTGTTCCAGATCAGTTTAAAAATGCATCTTCACAGGTTATTCATCTTGAAGAAATAGTTATCAAGACTTTAAAGAATGTCTGAAACATCATGCTCATAAATGAAAGATAAAAATATCTATATTACTTATTAAAAGCTTAAATTATTAAAATATTAAAATTTAGAATACGCTTTGTTTAAAATATTTTAAAATTTTTCTGGTTAAAATTCTAATTAGCCAAAATTTGACAAACTTTTTTCATCTGTCAAATATGAAGGGTTAAAGTTAAAACACTTTTTGGCGTTCCAAGTAACATTGTAATTCAAGCAAAATACGCATATAAATAGTAAGGGTTTTGGAATTCGATATTAATATCAGAGTTGGTCAGAAAATACAACTCGATATAAGAAACAAATTGGTGTAGCAGTAGCTTTGTATCTTTCCCGTCACTTAATATAAAGACATGTTTCAAATTCCGCTAAAAAGTTGATCATAAAAAAATTTTTTGTGATTTAAATCAGATTGTCTTGCTCGATTTTAATATCAAATTATTTATCAAACGTCCCGAAAGTCGGGGGCGGCATTTATTATTAAAAACAAATTTTTCGTCATATATAGTTTGAAAGAAATATCTATACGTGAATTACAAAAAATTATTTTTGACCTTCAAAAAACTTTTAAAAAAAAAAAATATTGTTGGATGTTTTATCTAGATGACACATTGTACGGTTTGGGTGTGTGCGATGAAAAAACATTACTAGTACATTTGATGGGTATTCCAATTTTAAAGTAAATATAGTAAGTAATATTACATTCACGACTGCCTTTCAACTCGTTGTTAAGATCAGCAAACGCTCAAAAAAAAAAAAAAAGCAGACGAACCGGTTTATGGAGTATTATTCTCCAGACAGTTGAAAATTTTTTTTTTAGCAGAATAGATTCTATAGATTGTTTCTATAGATTCTTTTTATAAGGATATGAGCGTGTAAATGAGGCCATCTTAATTGAAAAACTAGATCATTTAATTGTCAAATGTCTTTTTAAACATCACATGATGAAAAAGAAACTTTTACGTTCCGAAACTATCGCTTTTAATGGTTTCAAGTTTGTTTTTTTGATGACATATTAATATATTTTGATATAAATCATCAAATTTAGTCATAATAATATTAAGGAATTCGAAAAGTATACAGAATGATCAGAAAAACCAATTAATAATATAAATAGGTTGTTGTATATCTAATTAAGTGCTGATTTTCCCGTCTCGAAGAGCAATGTCCTTCCAAAAGAAATGAATAAAGTATGACGAAGAGCAGTTGGCATAGAATATACTGATAAATTAATATTCACAAAGTGAATAGTGTTGACGCTATCAAATGATATTGAAGTAAAATCAAAAAGACCTTTATAATCTCTCAGCCTTGCATACCAACCTTTTTATAATGGTTGGTTAATTTTTTACCATGAATTTTTATTATTGACGAATTTTAGGTTTTGTTCATATTTTTTATTTCGAAACCGATGGGTTTTGACAAACATCAGGCACCTTCAAAAATCCGTAATTTATCCCGGATGATAATGATCATCCGGGATAATATTGACATTGCGTTACAACAGAATTCTATTTATTATAGAAAAACATGAATGAATTCGCTCTCTCCAAAATTATTTTTTGAAAATAGAACTGTCAATTCATATTATCCAATAATTTACGAAATGATTTAGAAACACTTCATTCATGCGTATTAGTTAATCGACTTTTTTGTCGAATTACAATTCCTATACTATGGGAAGATCCTTTTTCTAAATGTCGAAAAGGAATTCATTATAATTTTCTTGATATTTTAATGATGACGATAAAACAATATTGGAATTAAAACCAATCCTCCTTCATTTGCAAAGGCCTGCCCTTGTTTTATTACCCAAAATTTATTAAAACCTTAGATAAAATTCGAGTCGCATGGCACGTAGATAATTTTATGAATGTTCATTCCAGCACCTAAATTTTGTTTTTTTTTTCAATGTTTGAATGTTCTAATGATATTATGAATTCAAGTCTTCCTTTATCTACGAGACATCCGAGTTATTTAAAAATTGAATCAATTTGTATTTTATTATTCAAATTATTTATAAAAAGTGATGCTTCTTTAAAATTTTTTTTTATATCGAATGTTGAAAATTTTCACCTAAATTTAATGGTGTTACCGTTTCCAAAGATGATACCTCATTATGCAGCTTTGGTTTCTGAACCTTTCGTATCATTATTATTGTTACCTTCATTAATACCTTCAATTAAACATCTTAGTATTGGTGCTCAGGAGTGCAACTTATTCGTGAAAAATTTAATACTTTCGCAACCAAAACTATTATCTCTTTCACTTTCTCATGTGAGAAACATTGATTTGCTAAATTCTTTGATGTACTGCTTTAATGCTTTAACTTCAATTAAATTTGCTTTTTGTAATTTTAAAAGTGTTTTTTCATTTGATGGGCTCGGAAATTTCACACAACTTAGATCACTTCATTTTGGACATTCCTATCTCGTTAAAATTCAAATCTTTAAGTATTATTGGTTCTATCCCATCATTACTTCAAAAAATTGGTTCTCATTTGGAAAATTTATCATTGCAACTATATAGTAATAAAGATATAACGGCTTCTTTTGAAAGCATTATGAGGTTTTGTGATAATATTAAGTTTCTAGAATTACCCAGGATTGATCTACATGATGATATCTCTAAATTATATGAGTTGATAACTTACTTTAACAACAAACATCTTTATATTTTACTATTAGAAATGAAAGGTTTCTGGATTGTGCAGAAATTGATTCAACGGTCCTTAAATGTTTGGGTCAAATATTACCAGCCAGATTCCCTGGAATATTTAAGTTTAGATCTCACGATTTAACCAAATGAATTGAAATTTTTTTTAAATAATTGTCAACGCGTTGGATTGAAGAGTTTATTAATTAGAAACAAATCTACTTATCTTATAGAGGTGTCGTTTAGAATTTTAAAAGAATTTGTGGAGGAAAATCGGGTGAATTACTTTGCTTATGAACTCTAAACAATTTAAATCTACAAATTTAGAAAATTTGGCTTGTGAAGTTCAACCTTTTGTAAAATTGAGGAAGTATAGTTATCTGATTATAAACATTTCTGATTTTGATAAAACTTCTGAATAATATCATTTGTATCTTTATTTATTAAAATTCATTTATCTATATTTATGTTATTTTCTTATTTAAATATAAATAAATATATATATTATTAAATTAGCTTACATCCGATCGGTGAACTCAAAAATAAATTTTCTTTATTTTTGAGAAATTGATTTTATTATTTTTTGTATTATATCTATTAAAGTTGATGAAATATATTATTAATTTTGATTTGTTTATTTTGGAATTCATCTATTTAAATTCCAAAGTTTACTTATTTTGATATACAGTTTTGTCAATTCCTTCTGTTATTTCTTATCAACCCTTTTCATAATTAAGATTTTCCCAATGTTTCAATTAAAATATATTTTATTTTATTTTATGATGATGTCGTTCGATCCCGAATAAATGAATAACTTCAATAAGAAAATAGATGAGGAAAAAGGTTAATAGAAATGAGATATTCGATATCTTATTTTTCATAGTTTGACTAGTCTTTAAATTATAGATAAGATAAAATTTATTTCTTATCGCAGTTCTCGATTAATATTATATAAGGAAATTTTTTCTTTTTCTATTTTTTTTCTACGCCTTATTCTCAATAATATTTTATAATTCTATGTATTTTTCAAATAGATTTTAGGTACCATCTAACTTACAACAAATTTTTTTTTGGCATTGATAAATTAAATTTGAATTCAGGAATCATTATAAAACATATTGCGCTATATGAGTCATAAAGAAATATTCAAACATAAAACATTAATATAAAGAGATAAAACGAGATACGGCATTTTTATTTTAACTTTGTACTGTACAAGAATAAACAATTGATATATTTTATTTTACTGTGAACTTTTCTTAATGGATGATTATTAATGTGGTCATTCATATTCATGAAATGCAAGTATTAGAAAGTATAGCATGCGGATGTTGTCAATTCGGGATGAGTCATTTTATCGGATGTTGAGGTAATAGCCGTGCGTGAGTGTTTTATAGATTCAAAACTTGGGTAATGTGGCTGTATAGTAAAAAAGTTGATGAAACATCAATAAATCTGCATAATCCTAAATCAACACATTTTCAGGATTGTTAAACTTCAGATGTGTAAAGGCTTTGTCACTGTGATAGAAGGTCTTTTGGAATCGAGTACAAATTGCCGACAGATTCTTCGACCCTCCAATTGAGCGCACTTGAAAGGCGGTAGCATTGTATTTTATCCAGTTAAAGTCTCTGATATTCAATATAAAATTGAAGTATTTACAATTTTAATAAAAAATGACTGAAACTTGATAACCCAATCCCATTAAAAAATTAGTCCTTCAATGGTTTGCTTTAGAATGTTTTATTTTTTAAAAAAAAAATCATTATTTTAAATTACTAACATTTACTCGATTTGTAGATATTGATAGATGTATTTTGAACAACTTATTTTCACAATAATAAAATAATTAATTTATTTATTAATTTTTGAAATTATAAACGTAACATATTTGCATTTTATGATTTCCAAATGGTTATATCATTTTTCCGATCCGATTAAAATTGATTTGTTTGTTACAATCGGAAATTAAGTTCCGTTATACATTGTTGAATTTACTTAATCAGAACCCTGTGTAACATGGAAAATGTTTTTCTTTTAGAATCTTTTTATTTCCCTCTAAAGTTTCATACTATCGCCCGACAATAGCGAATAATTCTATATTTTTTCTTCGTTCAAAATTCCACACGATTAAATTTAATATAAAATAAGATTTTAAGGATTTACTGCTCTTTAAGAAATTGGTTAAATAGATTTTCTTGAACGTTTTAAAATTTTAAAAAAATAATGACTAAAAATAGGAAGCAACTATTCAATTCAACTGTAATTTCAATATACATTATATTTATTCCTAATATTATTATTATTAATTCATCATTTGATTTTTTAGAGTGACGAAATTATAAAAAATTATATGAAAACGAATCCAAATGAAAAAATTCCTTTTGTACAATTAAGTAAGATTATTTCTAATGAGCTGGTTGATTTAAATCCAAAACAGATAGCTCACCAGTAAGTTTACAGTTTATTTCTTATGTTTATTAAGAAGATTTAATTAATTAACACTTACATCGCATCATAAACATTAGTTGGCGGAACAACCTTGATCCTCGCCGTAAGTTATAATAATTAATTACTTTTTTTTTAAGGAAAAAATTGATTTTACTTCTTCTTTTTATGTAGTCAGCAAAGAACAAATCTCAGATAAAGAGAAGTCATATATTTATTCATGGGTCATAACAAATCAAAAAACTCGCTCTATAATTCAATGGAACGAATTACAAACTGAAATGGTGACCAAATTTGGAAAATTCCGTTCGCGCAATGACCTAAAAAATATTTGGTATTCTAGGAAACGGCGCCTTGAACGATCTGGAACTAAAGTTCCTAATAATGATATTGATAATCATAAAGCTAAAATTTCTTATATTTTAAATTGAACAATCTATATTTACTTTTACCGCATAATTGAAATTAATTTTTCTTTTGACATTGATATTATTCACTATTTATTCACCTTATGAAAGATCTATTCAAAAGTTTAAAATGTCATTAAAATGTCATTATATACAATTCTTAGAATGAGATTGTTCAGTAAAGGTTCTCATAATTGGAGGTGCTTCATCATAAAATATAAACATTTGATTGTGTTCTCTTTTATTAGTTTGGGCCTTTTCTTATAAAAAAGGAAGGCAATTTGGATTCACACTTTCATACTTACGAAGAAAAATAATTCATGAGATAAGTATGTCTAAAAATTTACGTTTTTTTCATATAAATTTATTTTATATCTACTTGATGGTTAGCATCAAATTATTATTTAATGAAATCATCCTATATTAAGATTATATTTAAGACTTTATAAATTATATAATTATTTCCATTTTTTTAATACTTTTTTTTTATAAATAAGCTTTAATTAGACTATTAAATAATCTTTACATAACTTATTTATATTGTTGTATCTTAACTTTACACATTTTCTTTTTAAAATAAACTTATTTATTTAATAAATTACAAAAATGCATTAGAAATAAAAGTGCACAAATAACAAAAATAAAATAAAAAGTTACATTTGATCAGATTTATTATTATTTTTATTTTATTTAAATTTATCTGAAACTGCAACTTCTTACAAATTTGCATATTTCTTTAAGAAATTTAGACAGTTAAGTACTTTTACTAAAAATTGAATTAACATTTTATGAGACAGTAAACTTTATTGGAAAAATTAAAGAAATTGCTATAAAGCTAAGTTGGATCAATTATTACAAAAAAAAAAAGGTTAAAACCACTGAACAATTTCTATTTAAGCAGTTATTATAGCAATTGAAGACATTTAATTGATAATTATAATATATTTGTTTATATCTAAGAAAAATAATTATTTTTTTAAATTTATGGAAATAAAATTTTAAATTAAATTTTTTTCAGATTTATAGTTAATAAAGTAATTCAGATTTAAAATATACAAAAAGAATATAATAAATAGTATTTTAAGAAGATTATTATATTAAATACAATACTTTTTGAATTATATAATAGACTGTATTTATGTTTTAATTTAATATATTATTATAAAGATATTTTTAATTAAAGCTAATTAAAAAGTAAATACTATTATCATGAAAAAAAAGAAAAGTTAATTATTTTTAATAAATCCATTGAGTAAATGAAATGATACTTATTAATATAAAACATGAATTTTTTTTAAAAAATTAAAAGAGAATTAAGTAATATAAATTAAACTTTTATTATTTTAATATTAATATATTATTTTATTATTTAATATTAAAATGATTACAAATTATATTAGTATTTAATAACAATATATTTCTTTAATAACTCAAATAAAGATTAAATAAATAGTATTAAAATTAAATTAATAAATACTTTAATTCTAAAAAAAATAAAATTTATTAACTATTAGTAATAATTAATAATTATATATCTTAACAAATTATTAAAATATTTTTTTTTTAATATTAAATTAAACTATTTATTTAAATATAATAATTATCAAATTTAATATTACTATTTCAATTATACTTACTTAAAATTTAATAAACTTATTAAAATTAAAAATATATTTTAATTATTAAAAGTTATTAAAATTTAAAATATTTGTAAATATATAAAATAATTATAACATATTATAATAAATTAATAATTTTATAAAATCAAATATTAATATAAATATATTATAGGTATTAATGAAATCTATAAATTTAAAATATACTTATTATGAATTTGTAATTTTAAAAAAATAGTAAAAATAAAATGTTCTCTTTTAATATACTATATTAAATAATTCATTATATTTAAAGATGCTAGCCGAAACTCTCTCAAAATAATTTCATCATATTCCTTACTATATTTTTAATATAGTTTTAGCTAATTTCAGGTTTCGGGATTTTATCGTACCCTTATTATGTTTTAATATAATTTCGGCTGTTTATTAATTGCCTTTTTTGAGTTTCGTCCCTTATCTTAAATTATATTAATAATGAATTTTCTTATAATAAAGGTCTGATAAAACTGAACATCAACTTCATTATATTGAGATATAACTATATATATAGTAAATTAAAATAATTATATTAATAAATATTTATTTATTATTCTTTTTTATAATTATATTATATCTAAGTTATAATTAAATTTTTTCTGTAGATAACTTTTAATAAAAAATTCTGAAAGTTAGATTTGTATCAGCTATTAATATATACAAAATCTATAAAGAAAAAAAAAATATTAATAACAAACAAATATTAAGAAACTTGATAAGGTAATGTTTTAAAGCTTTTAATTAGGTCAAGTTAACTTATAATTAAGATTGCTAAATGAAAACTAGAGTTTGAACAGACATCTAAATAGTAAAAATAAAACTTGGTTAAATTAAATTCAACTTTATTAAAAATTTTACAAAATTTAGCAAAAGGTTAAACTGAATCAAAATTTATAAAAATAGAAAATTATATTAAACAATTAGTAAAAATTTGCGAAACTAATGGTTTAGGTATTTAACCAAATTATAATTTAATCTTATCTGACTTAAAAAATTCAGTTCAAGTAAACAAATTTCAGGTCAACATCAAGTCAGATCAAACTTATGACCTAATTAAATAAATAAAAAGTTTAAAAAATATTTTGATATATTTTTTTTAAGACATCTTTAATTTTTATTTAATATATTTTTTTTCATATTTTAATTAAGTTCTTTGTGTAATATTATAATCAAAAAATTAATTTAAATTATATATATTTTTTTGTAATTACATTAATCAACAAATTATTTTTAATTATTTTTATTTGTTCAATTACTTCAAAGAATATTTGAATACTTTAATTAAAAAAATATACTTTAATCATATAAGTATAATTATCTAGCAAATTTAAAATTATATGTATATAAATATTTAATATAATTGGATTAATAATTATAAAGTTAATAAATATTTTCATAATTATATTAGCAATTACTTAATTTGCATATTTATTATAATTTGTAACTTTTAATTCAGAAGTTAATAAACAATAGGAATTTTAAAAAAAATATTATTATTAGTAATCTTATTTTTTTTGAAATATCACAAAAATAATAAAATGTAATACTTTATTATATTTTTTAAAAAATTTTAAATAAATTAATAAAATTAATAAATGTTTAATTTTATTTTTATTATATTACTTTTATAATTGACCTAATATAAATCGAATCAAGTCAAATATATTTTATATTTAGTTTAATTTTATATCTAATTTAACCTGATCTTATTAGGTTAGATTAAGTCAATTATTCAATCTATCTGATTTATTCAGAACTCTATGAATATTATAAAATAAAGAGAAGAAAATATTTGGTAAAAAAAATAAAAAGTTTAAATATATAAGAGTATGATAATAAAATTTTTTTAATAATAGTTGTAAAAGAAATATGGGTCTTAAGTTATTAAAATTAGGTTACAAGATATAATAAATCATATAATCTAAATATGAGTTTTAATAGCAAACCTTTTATATTTATAAATTTATTAAAATATTTGAGATCTATATGAAATCCTGATACTCATAATAAAATTCTAACAATCTAAATCCTAAAATATCAAAAAACTAAAATATTATAATCTTGAATCTAATAATTTATAATTCTAAAGTAATGAGAACAATCATTCAGTAAGGAGTTGAGTAAAGTTTATAAACTCATTAATTCTGTTAAGAAATTAAGTAAAGTTGGTAAGTTTGTTTGCTTTGTATAATTATTTTATATTCAATTCGATTAGGTTCAATTCGATAAAATATTTGATTTAATTTGATTTGATTCGATTAAATTCAAATCGATTCAATTTAATTCGATAAAATATTTGAGTTTAATTATTCAATTCGATTCAATTTGAAAAAATCAAATCAAATTCAAATTGCTCAAATATTTGATTCAATTTGATTTTAAGAAATCCTAACTTATATATCATATGATAAAGAAATATATAAAACAACTAAATCAAATTGCTAACTTTCATTAATAAGAATTATAATTACTAAAAATATATATTTTATAATTATAGTTATAAGTTACAATCATATTTTATATAATGTAAATTGATAATTTACCATAATGTTATGCTTTTAAATAATGTTAAAGAATAGTAATAGAAATTTTATTGAAAGATGATATTGTATAATATTGTAAATAATATATTTTTCAATTATTTCATTTCTATTTTCATTTTTTCATTTCATATAAAATAAGTTCATATTGCTGATATTATGAAAGAAATTGATAATCTTTTATTTATTACTGCATCTTTCTCTTCTGATATTAGATTATCTTCAAAATTAGTATCAATATTTAAAGTTTTATTTTTAACAAAAGTATTATAAGAGAATGCTTTAGCTTCATTTTTTTCAATTATTATTAAAGAAGAATTGCTTTTATTATTTATTTCAGTTATTGTAAAAAGAAAAGTAAATGTAATTCAATTCAACTTATTTTTGATCTTTTATATATTTATGTTACTTTAAAACCTTAATTTATTAAGCTTATTTAAATAATGTTGATCAGTCTTTCTGAAGACTATAGTTTTTAAAAAAAATCAAGTTTTACAAAAAGATTGCCAATCTTTTGATTTTAATCATATATAAAGAAGACTGAAAAGGACTGTAATTATATAAGTTTAGTCTTTTAACTGAAAATCTGAAAAGACTAGAAATCTTTGAAATTAATTATTATTTTTAATCAACACATACTCAAAATTTGTATTCTATCTACTCTTACAAACTTGATGATTTATTCACCTTATAATAAAAATGACAATATTTCTAGGAATATTAATATATATGTATAATATGAGACCTATATATTAAAAGATCTTTTTATTCTTATTTCTAACATTAATTTTTGTATATTTATTTAATTTGATATTAAAAGTAAAAACTAGTG